GCGAGTTCTATACATGCATCCATGGCCTGGCGTCGATAGGTGAGCTCTTCGGTGATCCGAGCTGACCGTAAACTCAGATTCCTGGGATTCGCAGTCGAAGACTTAAAGCTAGAATGTGTGAGAATGAACGATCAAATAATGAGTTGATCCAAGAGAAGTATCTAAGCAGAAAACAGTCTTTTGAGAGTAAAACTAATTTTAAGGCTTCTTGCCAATGTGACCCAATTGAGAAAACAAGATCAAACAACTAGTATATGTCTGATGGTTTAATTAAGAATAGACAATAAAAATGGGTAACACGAGGAAAGTCATACATTTGGAAATAACAAGAAGATCACTTGAAAATGTCAAGTCTTGGTTTTTATTTCTTTCAGAGTCCATAGGCTCCACCATTAATTAAGGCAAATTGCTTCATATTCCTACCTCAGGCGCTACAATGTAACCAAACATCACCACCTATGTAAAGGCTTAAACTATATTTCAAAACTAACAAACATTAAAAGTATCATGCTAAGACTGAATTTCACATCTACATGTTTGCAACTTTAAAGATCTTAGGCTGGAAAGGGAAATCCTGAATATACCAATTTGAGCTAAAATTTTGTGTTTAGATACATATATAGTGCTCATTTGACCTTCCTATTGAGTCAACAAAGCTTTTTCGGTAGCCTAACACAGACGTAGTCGAAATTAGCTTAGAAATTAGTCAAAGAATAGTACAACAATACTGATAATAGGCGCAAAACAATCCCACATCGCTCTTGTGAGACCTAAATACAAATCCTTAAAGCTTGTGCTGTACACGAAAGTGAAACCAGCAGGATCAAACGAACCACCATGATAAAAAATAGAATATGTACAAAAAGCAATTGTTACTGGGAAATATACTAGCTGTCAACGATGAGATGCAGGAAAACTTGAAAATTTAGGTGTCCTTTACTCATACTAATGACAATATATACAAAAGATGAGTTTCTGGTCTATGGAGTCTTATAAACTAATTTTATCTTGTGGTGAGTGGTAGATGTCAGGAGCTAAGCAAAATTTGAAACGGATCTTACTACGAATTGCTAAATCTAAATTTTCATAGGAAATGAAAGGTAAAGCATGCAGAAAAATGTGATAGTTATGAATAATCGCACAGGCGGTGTTTAATTTAAATAAAAAACTGTCAAAAGGCCCAGATG